CCTCTTCGGCCTTTTCCATAAGTATCGTCTGTCCACTCGTGTCCTTGTCTTTGATCCGAACGACACCCTTCTCTTCGAAGATGTATTGTCCCCTCCCGTCGTCCACAAACCCAAACCCGTTGTACTTTTTCAGCACTTTCTTGATCTCCGCGCGAAGAGCCGACCGGTTGTCGCACTCGGCGTCCACCACAAGGAGACACCCGTTTGGGCCCAATATCTCCAATTTAATGGGAATACACTTCTTCTCGAGCGCCCGTTTGACCGCCTTATCAATGGTAGTGTTGGCGATGTTATGCTTGCGACACATTTCCATCACATCCCCGAACTCTTTGTTGATCTTGGGATCAGTTGACTGACTAGTCCTCAACGAAAAGCGCAATTTAGTCAGAATTCTGTTAATAGTGCGCGACTTCTCGGCGTCTTTCGACAGTTTCGTGTGTTTAATGTTAGCCCACTTCGAGTGTCCGGCGAAACGCTTCCAAGGGATCCGCCATCCGGTCAGGTCTGTCGTGTCTGTCATGTGTGTCCACCCGAGCGGCCACTCATTGCCGCACAATTGTTGGCCACTTTTCGCACGATTGCAGTAAACACTGTATTTCAACACATGATGTCCTAAATGTCTGTTTAGTAGTTTATTCATTGTTTTGCTGTGTTTTGCCGTCAAATGAGTGAACAATGAATTGAATTTAACTATAATTACAGTTAAATCACATTAAATGCTACAAAACATGTGTGACTTTCACTGTTTACATGAGATGTACAGCAATTACGTAAAGCCGACACACAGTCGACGATTGCATTGCAGTCATCAATAATCAGCTTTTAATATGATTTAACATTAATTAATTAATTATAGACTCAAATCAGTGGACAGTAAACAGTATTGGCTTTGATTTGATTTGGTTGCTAAAGTACAGTCAGTTTTGCACTGATTTTGCTAAATATTGCAAAAAATAAATTATAATTTAATAATAATATTGCAATTTTTAAGAAACTTTAGGTATATAATAGCAAACTCACAGAATATTCTAGCAAATTAAAAAACTTTTCAACTTTTACCAAACTAACTTAGTTAACGTTAATACAATTTTTTTTGTCTAACTAGTTATCATTGTTAACTAGATAGCATTGTAAATTACATCCTTGATAACTTTAGGGAGGGATCGAGATTGCTAGGTTGAATCTATGGCATTTAAAACAAAAAATTAAAATAATAAAAGTATATGTTGGGTTTAGTTGATATTGTTGCAGACTAAATGTATCAAGATCATTTAACATTGATTTCAGTTGATTAATTTAACATTGATCAATTTAGTAAACTTTTATTTACTTTATATATTTAGTTCTTAACAAAATTAAATATTTTGTACCTGTTTGAATTAAATACAAAGCATAGTAAGTATTAATTTACATATAATTCATTGGATTAAAAAGTTTTGCATTGAATTAAAGCAATTTTACTAATATTTTCAATTAAAATTGGATGGAAATACAGTACAAGTAATTAAAACTCCATTTCCTAAAATTAAAGTTTTATTTTATTAAATATATGCCAAAAAAAGTTTGAAGCGATGTAATAATTGCTTTATAATGTTTTTATGTTATAATTTATTACTAATAAATGTAAAACTGAACAAATATTAGTTGAAATCATATGAATGATTGAAATGATTAGTAAATGTGATAATAAATTGAATGAATAGTTGAGTGAATGTATGAAATGTATGAAAGTTAGGGTAGAATAGGGTTTATGTGTTGTCAACGAATGCATAGAAAACATCATTTATTGCATTCAATTGAATGTCTGTTCACTTCAAGGACTCAAACGTTTGAAACAAACTTAGAGTTGAATCAAAACTATTGTTTGCCTTTTGAGCCACTCTTTTGATCGTTGAGTTGATCCCAACAGTGATCACCACTTATTGTGTTGTGTTTTGTGTGAAAGATGGCCGAAAGTGACGGCACTTCGGGTGACCAGAGCTGGAGAACCAATTTATTGCGACAAAATGTCAGAAACAAAATGTATGTCAACTCCTGAGGACAATGTCTCCGCGCTCTCACTCACAAGAGCTGATCCAATGTTTGGTGGTTTCAATTAATTGCTTTTGTTTTATGGTTTACAGCGAAGAAGCGATTCGTATGTCTGGGAATCCGACCTCAAAGACTGTGGCAGAGATGGAGAACCATATCTTCCTGAAGGCCAGGACTAAGGTATTGATCAATCGTATTGTACTCAAGAGTGACACCAATTGGTCTCACCTGATCCCACCTGATCTCACTCTACTTTGTCAGACATAAGACTGTGTTATAAAACAATTAAAATATATTTGCAATTATGTCCTGAAAGACATTCACGGCTTTTCTTAAGGGTTCAAAGGCTTGTCTAGTGATACACTTTTCTTAACTATTGTTTTAATGTTATTTATGCTATAAATGTGTCTAATTATATAATTTGATGTCCGAATTGATCCATAAGTTATAATTTGTTCCACAGGAGGAATATCTGTCATTCGTGGCCCGACTTATACTTCACGTCAAGGAAATGAGTGAGTCTTCAAAGTCTTGAAATCTATATCTAATCTCATAGTGTCTATAGTTATGCAGATTTTTATTGCGTAAAATTGTTTGTTTTGTTTTATTATTTTGTTTTTTAATGCAAGAGTCGATTAAATAATAATAGTTAACTCAAACGTATTGTTAAGTTAATGAATTGCATATAAGTTTTGCGTTAAACCGGTAGTGAAATGATGGGCACATGTCTTGTGTGGTCCTAAAAGGTTGAACACAACAGACAATCAATATTTGCAAAAATTAAGCCAATGCTCAGGCGTTACGTAAAAACGCAACCAAAGCGTCGTTTATATTACATAAACCCCTCTCTAATCAAATGCTGAGAGAAAAAATCAATAGAAATGTCGCTAAACTCTGAATGACTTCAACAAAAACTCACAGACATTGCAATACATAGTATTGTAATTTCTTAATGCATATGAAATATCAATTAGAAAATTGCATTATTTGCTCACTTTTTACGTATTTTTTTAATTAATTGAAACAAATTCTTCCAAAATTTTATCGCAATGTTTTCCACAAGAATTTTATGCCTCTTTTAACTGTGAATTTTGTACACATTTTATGCCAATTTTGAGACAATTTTTGTTTGGATTTTGTTTGTGTGTAATTATACCATGATTTGAATTATTAGATTCAAAGAAACAGCAGCCGCAACAACAGCAACAACAACAACAACAACAACAGCCGCCACCGCAGTCAGGGATGCAGCAAATGGTTGGCCAGAATTCGCAGATAATCGGCGGACAGGTATGTGTTGTTTGCATTTGGATTATCAAAAGTTTTGATTCAAAACCATAGACCCTTTTATGAATGTTTTGCTGTCAACTGCTTTTTGTATTTCAAATGAATTTTTAATATACGATTTAATGGTCAGCAATCGGATCCTATGAGTGCACTGCAGAATATGGCCGGTCCTCAACCCATCAACGATATGTCCAACGGAGGCGCTATGCATATGTCAGTGCAGGGAAACGTTGGCAACGATCAGATTCTGGTCAACAACCCGTCCTCTGCTATGATGTCCTCCAATATGCCAAATATGTCTCACATGACAAACATTAACCCAAATCCTAATCAAATGAATCAAAATCGGGTCCCGAATCCAATGCAAATGACTGGCAATAGAAGTGAGAAGTTATTAACAAATCATATAAACGATGAATTAATTTAATTGTTAATTTAATTAAAGTGATGAATCAGCCGATGTTAGGCCAAACACAGAACCGACCCCAACAGGTGCTGTCGTCCAACATTCAGGTTCAGCTCCAAAGACTTCGTCAGCCGAACCCTAATATGGGAAACGTTAACGTAAGGAATTTACACACAGTATATGTTTGTGTCATTGCATACAATGTTTGCTATGTTTCTAACAATATAGCAAATGCCGGTTTCGGCGCCCATACCAGAGAACAAATACTTTGACGGACAGTCAATGGGGCCACAGATGGGGAATATGAACGTCGGCAACGGTCCGCCACAACCGGGACAACAATTCAAAGGTCAGCCAATGGGTGGCCAAACATTCGCACCAAACAATCCGATGGGTCAGAACCCGAACCCACAGATGAATAATATGCAATCCATGAATATGAACCCACCGACACCTCAGATGATGCCCTCCCCATCCGGTTACGCACCGAGTCCCTCACCAATGATGCCCTCACCCCATAGTAACCTTATACGACCGACCGGTTCAATGAGTGCACCTTCACCTCAAAACATATCACTCAACACTCCCGGTTTGCAATTCATTATTATGACAACAATTGTGTCCATTTTTTAAAATGATATTTTCTATATGTAAAGCCAATATAATGATCGCATCGCCCGGTTCTGTGGGTCCGGGCGGCCGACCCGTCAACGAGGAGCAGATATATCTCGAAAAACTGAGAAATTTGCAGAAATATGTGGAACCGTTACGTAAAATGATTGCTCGCATCGATCAGGACGACCGGTCTGTTTCCGCTTTTTATAGTTTTCATGTTTTGTTATATTTATTGATATTATTTTTGCGGACAGATTCTCAACCGATAAGAAGAAAGAATTGGATAAAATGAAAAACTTGTTAAGCATTTTAACGGATCCTTCGCGAAGATGTCCAATGAGTACACTCGAGAAATGTGAACAATTTCTCGAGAAAATGGACTTTAAAATTAAGGTAAATTATAAATTGATTACAAATTTGCTATTATTTTTATCATTTAATTGACACGTGGAAGGAATTAACAATTTATGAATAAACATGTTTTTATAAATATTGCTATAACAGGAAATAAATGTGTTTTATTTGGTGTTAGGTTTAGTAAAATAATATGTTTGTTTGTTTTTAGACTGAAACGAATGTCGCGCTCACCGCTGGACCCGTTGCCGCACATCCGGTGCCTAAACTACAAGATGTTTGTCAGCCATTATTGGATGCGATTACAGCCCATATCAAGAAACCCTTATTTAACCACACATTGCAGCGAACATTTGGACCGACAGTCGCGGCGCTCACTAACAACCCATACAAACAGTCGAGTCCTCCATCAATGAAGAGGAAATACGAAGACGATTACGACGTCTCGGAAGTACTTCAGGGAGAGATCGCCCGATTAGACCCGCGATTCAAAGTCCAATTGGATCCGTTGCAGCACTTCGGCTCCAAAACCATTCATCTCATCTGCAAATTGGGTTCGTTTGGCATTTATTTTGAATAAATTGCAATTAAATGTAATACTAATGAATGCACGCATTAATAGATGATAAAGACCTTCCGTGTGTCCCTCCGATCGCGATCCGAGTGCCGGACGCGTACCCCGAAAAGCCCCCGCAATGCAGTACTGATGCACTCGAATACAGCGCTTCCGGCTTTTTTCAAGACATACAGAAGAAGTTTGACTTAAATGTCGATAAATTGCCCCAAAGTTTCTCAGTAACCACTTTACTTAATAGTTGGGTAAGTGTTTCACACGTTATGCTAATTTTAAAGCATTTATTTTTATAATTTTATTGTTTAATTGTGTGCAGGAATTAAGTGTACGACAGGCCGTCTCATCAGCACTCGATCCCATCTGTCTCTGAATGTTGTGTAAATTATGTAACGTTTACTTTGTTTATATGGTATTTACATTTACCGGTATTATGCTATGACTAAATTGTAAAATGTAACCTTATTTTGTAACATTTATTAATAAACAAAATCTTAATTTATTCTTAAAAATTAATTTAAATAAATATATACTGTATTTTTGAGTTAATTTATTAAATACTTAAATTGTTTAATAAAATTGATTGAAAATAACTTGTAATTTGCAGTGTTTGTGTTGCCGAACATATAGTGATATTATGTTATATAATGCCAAAGAGCCACAAATTTTATGTTATAAAAGTAAAATAAATACTAGAATTTGTTTATAGAAAGTTAACAGTAACTGTTATATAACCTGTGCTCACATTAAATGCAATAAAAATATCTTATGATTTTATATAAACTATTAAATTAACGATAATTTGACCCAAACTTAAGTCTAATAAACACAAGTAAAACGTGTGAAGGTTTACCGCTTTACGCTTAAAAATAGGAATTTTAATGATTTGATGCAAAAGCTTTGATTGGAAATGCACTAAACGTTACTAAATGTGCTCATTATGTGCACTATATTTAGCGTCTAATATAGACATCGAATTCTGGTATTAATGGTAACGAAAGTTAGGGTTTATTTAAAATATCAGTCAATAAAGTTGTGTTAAAATAAATTTCTGAACACAATTAATGGTTTTTGAATAGACTTTATTTATATCTCAATTTAAACGCCAACTATTTT